CTCTCTCTCTCTCTCTCTCTCTCTCTCTCTCTCTCTCTCTCTCTCATCGCGACAGCACACAATCGCATGAAATAAATAAAGACTCCAACTGTCTGCCGAACGCTACACTACCGGTCATCGCCGCTTTCAGGATCAGTAGACGGACTATGTGTYGGTGGACRCAAGYTGCGAATGGCATCCGCAAGAACGTAATAGCCGTTCTCTACCTTGTCCCCCATGATGGTAGCAATCCTCTCGCGTGAAGCTATGTCCTGCTGTAGTAGCTCGCGATTAGCGTCAGCCTGCTGCTTAGCGATGTCACGAGTTGCTTGACAGCGCATCTTCGCGCACTCCATGTCCGATCGAGTCAGCGCAGTCGTGTGAGCACGCATAGCAGCTGTCACAGCCTGCACACTGGATTCGCGTGCATTGGCGGCACCTCTTTTTCGTTTGCCGAGCGTCGGCTCAAAACCCGTCGACTGCGAGCCTCCGGGGGAAACGCCATACCCGGATCCGTTGTCTTCGCTCCCACCTTCCATGGCCCCGTCCCTGTCACTGACCCCCTCTCCGTTTTCAACACGCTCGTCGTCTGCCCCGGAATCCATCAGATTCGTCAGGTTAATAGAATCCTTGTCCTTCTCCACCGGGTGTATGATGTCGTACCAACTGCGACGAAGTACAAAGTCCACGTTGTACTTCTTCCGCCTCGTTTGGTTCATATCCTAGTAGCTCAGCAGACCGGACCAGCCCTCGTGCGCCCTCAACCTCCTGTAGTAGTCGGGGATCTGGTTGAACTTGTTCTTGCACTGCTCGTGGTCTCGGTTGTAACCCTTCGCACGCATGCGCTCTTCCACTATCTTCCAAAAACCAGCTTTCAGCCTCGCACGCCCGTACGCCTCAGTCTCTTGGCCCATCAACTCCTTCACTTCGTTACGGAACCGGCACAACCACTGAGTTTCGGTCTCCCCCCACCGGTCCGTGCTCTTCTCCCCCGAAGACGGCCTTCGACGCGGGTTCCGGGACGGCCCGCCCGCACGTGTCCCTGACGGGACTGCTACGGAAGGCGGTGTGTGAGATGACACATTGCCGTTGATCAGGGACGGGATGGCCGCAGGTGGGCTTGGAGAAGATCCAGACCTCGGTGCTGTGTCATGCGTTCCGGACTCCCTGACGAATGGGGACGGAGTGGCCGCGGGTACACCGCCGGGAGTGTGCAATGCGGAAGGTGTGTGCGAGGGGCTTGTGTGCAATGAAACAGCCTCACCTCCGACATTCACATAATCGGACTCCGGTGTACGCACACCAGCCTCAATGTCCTGGATGATTCGGTTCAGGACGTACTCAGATGAGGCGGCAGGCGGACACTGCTGCTGCATGACAGCACCATCACACGACGACTCCGGTGACACGAGGTGAGTCATTTGGGTAATGGGCAAGATCGTAGCTGCACTGCCTGACTCATGCTGCTGGGAAGGCATCGTGTCAGAGTTCATAGACGGTGTGAGCCCTTCGGCCATAGCCATTGCACGCATTCTCAGACGCTGACGGAGACTGTGCTCATCCTCTCCGCACAGACCGATTCTGAATTTCAGAACAGGCGTCACCGGTGACGACAAGATGGGACCGTGGGTCACAACGTCGGAGTGCGGTGCATCGGTCACACAGTCGGTGACCATCGGCGACTGGGGGCCACAGACGGGGCCCGGGGTGCAAGCTGGCCCGGACCCTGCATGTGGTGGGCCGACGTCCTGGGACTCAGACCACCCCCAGTCGCCGATACAAGACAGACCATCGTGCTGGGTGTGACGGGCCATGGACAATGGACGTGTCCGAGGTGTCGTTTTCCCTGCGCAGTAATTGAACGGAGAACAGTGACGAAGTGCAAAGGCGTGCAACGGAGAGAAACGGAAAGGAGGCGACAACCATATCCCGGCACGGTACGGAGAAGCATTTCCCGCCCCGATCTGAATGTCTTGCGGATTCGGGCGGATTCGCGTGAATGCGTGTAATTGCCACGCGACCCCGACATGTGCAACGCCATGGATTTGGCTCGCACCCGTGTCCGTGTACGCAGCCGCACGCAAGCACGGGTACCCGRCCGTTTCCACATGASGACTTTCCCTTTTCGGAAAGCCTAGATGCTGGTCGTCATATGACGCCTCACGACCGGGTCGGGGGGAGGGGGGTGCATGTGTCCCAGAAAGACGACCAGGGACGGACGGCACCCACGTATTTGGATGCAATACCACACATCATTAACTATACTTGGACACGCCCAACCTCACACCAAACACGCCGTTCCCCACCGGCCTCTGAACTGTCAGTGTTCGGAGCAATTATATTTTGTCCACCTTAAGACTCCCGATTCTCAATTTCGGAACGCCGAAATGCGTTGGCGCGAAGCTTCAAAAACACCCCATACAAAAAAAACCATAGAATTGAAGCTTCGCGCCAACGCAAAGTGGACAACTAAATGGCCAACAAACGATTTATAAAAAATCCTATTGGCTGCTCTTCAACTACCTTGCCGAAAACACACACAATCGCCGTGGACAGTCGATACGGGTTCCAATCAACGGCCCCGATTTGTCACGGACGGCCGCACGTAATCGAAAACGCCAGACCCGAAGCGTAAAACGGTGCATGTCGGTCCAGGCCCCAGGGGCCATGCTAATCTCCTCTGTATCCTTCCAATTTTAACGGATGTCACCCACCTTTCTTTTCATGGAAAAAAAAAAAAAAAGTGCACAGACACCCCGCTCACGTTTAGAAATGACGAAACTACCATCTTCACCCCAATAGAGCCCCCAGTCATCATAGCTGCATTGGGATCAACTTCCAGTCTAGATACAGTTATAACCGTAGGCGTACTACTAGGCCAGTATATAATGACCCCCAATAGAGTTCTACTCCAGTGCAAACGGTAGGCGTACTACTAGGCCAGTTAGAATGCAGCTGCAAGTGCAGACGCAGATGCCCAAGCGCAGGGAGGGTGCGTGACCCATCTTTTTTCCCTGGGAGAAAAAAAGGGCATGAACAACCTGCTGCTCAGGTTTTGGAATGCAGAACTACCAGTAGGTAGCCCAGACAGAACGGACCTGGACATGGGTAGAGTCCAAGTGCACGATCTGTGCACCTATACATGCCCAGGTGCATTACGACCAGGGTAGGTAAGAGTTATGTCCTTTCAAACAAACTCCCTATTTTCAATTTTTCACCCTTGTTCCGTTCCTTTTTCTTTTTTTTCGCTTAAAAAAAGGGGCGACGGCCTTCCGATATCATCATTGAATCAAAAAAAAAAAAAAAAAAAAAAAAAAAAAAAAAAAGATATCATCATTGAATCTGACCGGCCCCAGGTAATTCAGAGTTTAACAAGTGAATTAAACTGAATTTATGTTTTTCTAGGCATTCTGATTGTACCCGGATTCGAACATGAGTCTGTATTTCAAGTTTTCAACAGTTCATGGGTGTACCAATTTCCTTCCAGAATGTTTTAAGAGAGGTTTAACAGGGGCTTGTGGGTTGAAATGGCTTGTGCAAATGTGCCAGAACCCACAAGCCCCTTTTCCTTTAAGCCACCAGTACTTGGCCCAGCTATCGGCCGCAGGAAGAAATAGAGTGGAAACATTTCCACTCGGATGAATTTGGACGCTCCTGTAGTGGCCCGTACATTTCCTAAAATCGTGGCGCGTTCACGGGCACGACTCTAGGAAGTACTTGTGGTATAAATCTTACAGAAACATGGGGGTAAAACGAAACGTAAAAACACAGACACAATTTAAAAAAAAAAAAAAAAAAAAACGTAAAAACACGCAAAACGTCCACCCTCTTCTCTTCTCTCCCCTCGACATTCTCTGCTCTACCCGATCCTCTAGGTCAGGTTCATTGCAGGAACAAACTAGACGCTGCAGAAGACGGTCAAACGGTGCACGCTTTGCTGCACCAGGATAAAAAATGTTGCAGGGACCATCTCGAAAAAAAAAAAAAAAAAAAAGTTTGGACCAGTTGGAACTTGGAACCTGGAACCCATTTTGAACCAGGACTTGTTGCAGGGATCCTCCTCAAGCTTGGGGTGCCATGGGAATGATGCCTTGGAACAGAGGCTCAGAGAGAGTCAAGTGGGAGAGGGAGGGAGGTGGTGGGACAAGGAAATGGAAGGAATGCAACAGCAGCATCAGTGCCGGATGATAAAGAAATGAAAATGGGTTTTGGGTTGTAAGGGCAGATCTGAAAATGATAGGAGGAAAGAGATTGCAGCTCAATGTGCACATGCTGCATTGGGTGGGTGCTTACAATGAGCTTCTTCCTCAAGCATCATGTCTTACTGAAGAGGTGGGAGGCATTTGGGCAAAGCAGCCACAAGGAGTTGTGACCTGCAAGAGCCAGCGGGACATGAATGAGTTGAAGCACAGCGCTCAGAGGGTGGGCGGGGCTTCTAACCTTAATATAGTGTCAAATGCCAGAAAACACACAAGTTGCTACTGGATCAAAAACTGTTCTGGCCGTTGGACCGTAGCATAGTGTCCAACGGCCAAAGTGGACCGAACAGTTTTTGATCCAACGGCCAAAGTGGACCGAAAGTGGGCTACGGTCCACTTTGGTCGTTGGGCTACGGGCCAGAAAGTGGACTGCGCTGAGAGGAGATTTTCCTGCCTTTGCGGATTAGTCTCATAAAGAGTACAGTACCGTACTACGGTAGTCTCTCTCTCTCTCTCTCTCTCTCTCTCTCTCTATCTATCTATCTATCTCTCTCTCTCTCTCGAGTTATTAGAGAAGTAAGATGGAAAACGGTGTGAAACGGAAGCTGGAGGAGGGGCCTTCAGAATTCGAACGGTATTCCTAGCCATCATGCAGAGTGCGGTTTCCTAATTTGGAGAGGTGACGAGTATCAAGTTGCTCAACCATCCCCTGCATCCACCTGTCCTGCAAGGGTGCACTTTAATCAAGTTCTCCAACGAGGAACAATCAATTCAATGGGAATAACAGCAACAACTCGATGGCTGGGGAAACACCGCACCCCGGTGTGGACAAGTTGCGCTCTTTCTTCGGCATGGGGACGAGACAGTAGTTCTGATTCTGACAGCTGACAGTGAAGAGAGGGGGGGAATGAGGGGAAGGAGGGGAAGTAATGATTCTGAGAACAAGATAAATCATTACTTCCCTCCTTCCCCTCCCCGCCACAAATGTTTCCCGCCAAAAATGAAGAACAATCATTATCACTTTGGCGGGAAACATTTGTGGCGGCGGGGAGGGGAGACAGAAGGGAAAGGAAAAAAGAAAAAGAAAAAGAAAAAGAAAAAGAAAAAGAAGTCGGGAGCAGTGGAGAGGAGGAGAGGAGCAACCTGCCCTCCTCATGAGGGTGATGATGACCACGAGGAGGAGGAGGAGGAGGAGGGGCAGGAAGAGGGGAAGCGGGGTGGGGGAGGGGGGAAGAGGAAGAGGAGGAGGAGGAAGGAGAAGGAAAACGAGATGCAGGTATATCAATGAAGGGAAAAAATAAAAATAAAAAAAAAGGTACGAGGGGAAAAAACAAAAGGCAACATGGTTATATATATTAAAAAAAAGGGCAACATGGTTTGGTCGAGCAGCGCTCTAGCTTCGCATAACGCCTGCAGAGAAGTTCTTGTAGGGCAAACAAACAAAAAAAACTCCATGGTTTTTTGTGCACTGACGACCACATGGTTTATTCCGCGCCCAATATATGAAGATCAATCATCAGTAAGGCAAACAAAAAAAAGCCAAACAAAAGCCAAAAAAAAGCCAAAAAAAAAGGATGACGACAATAGTAGGAAAGAGGGCAGCATTAGAAAGGGAGGGGGGCAAACCCACCTGATGCTGACGGAAATGATGATGATGGGAATCACGATGAGGAGGGAGGGAGGGGAGGAGGGAGGGAGGGGAGAGGAGGAGGGGAAAGGAGGGAGGGGGAGGAGAGAAGATGGGGGGCGCAGCCTTTCTTTCTTTGGAAGTTCCCAAGGCAGACCCACGAAGTTTTTTCGCAACGGATATTCAAAAA